GGTGACGCGGCTGGCGCGGCCGGTGCGGGCGTCGGAGCTCATGCTGGACCACCCGGGCAAGTTCGTGTGCGACGCGTGCCGCCTCGCCGTCGGCTGCCGCGTGCCGGGCGTGGCCGCCGACGAGCTCCTCCAGCCGCGCCGCGCCTACTTCCTCCTCCCCATGGACATGCTCTACTCCGTGCTCACCGACGACGAGATGGCCGCGCTCGCCGCCGCCTCCCACGGCGCCGCCACGGCCGCCACCGCCGCGTGGCGGAGGATCGTGGTCACCACCACCAGACGGCGACGGGGCGGCGGCCGCGGCGCCGCCTCCAGGCAGAGCAATGGCGACGCCGGCAGGGTGTTCCCGGTCGTCGGCCTGCTGCAGCTCCAGGATGCCCCCGCCGGGCACTCCACGAGCGGCGCCGGGGTCAAGTCGAGCGGGGCCGCCGTCGGGCTGAGGCGGCTCCGGTCGTGGCGGCCGGTGCTGGACACCATCGAGGAGGCGCCGTGACGCGACGCGGCGGCCGGCCCGATCGGCCGGTTGGTGCCACGCTAGTGTTAGGCAGCTAGCTTGAGCTGGCTCTCGAGTGTACATGATCGAATTAGTTTCTTCCACTAGCTTTTTTTTTTTCATTTCTTTTTCTCTTTTTCTGTAAAGGTCGCTACAGTACATTCTTTTGGCCCATGTCAAATTGACAAATCTGTTTTCCTATCCATTCTACAACCCACAAGTATACAATAAAGAAGATCCTGGGCACATCAATCAAAAAGCAATAAGATTATGATCTCTGAAAAATCAATCAAAAAACAAAAAATTATGACAAGAATACTGCATTTTCAACTGTAATTTCTATTGTTAGTTTTTTAGGGGTGCACAATGAAATTGTGAAAATGATCTACAAAATATTTGACCCTATTGTTATCATCCTGTGTGCCATGATTGGTTGGCAGCCAGGCGGCACACAGGGTGTAGGGAGGAGCTGGATGCTACTTTGCATTTGCAGGATGCAGGAAGGATATCTTTGTGCACTGGACCTCAGCTGGACATGCTAGTTGCCAAGCTAAACAACAGATGAAGCAAGCCACAAATGGGCATTATTTTAGTCCATGTTTTATTTTGAGGGGAGGGAATATTTTAGTCCATGTTGGCTTGTGTGGATGCAAACAATGAGATACCAGAAAGATAATATTCGGATTAATGCATCATGCATGCACTCTGTCCTTCCTTAATCATGTTTTTAAGTGGGGGTTTGTTAAATCAGAAAGCCCACTGACGTGATCAAATTCTAGCTATAGACAGTCTCTTGATTCCTTTTAAAACGTTAGGCTTTCCTTTGTGCTCTCACTTTATCAGTCCAAAATCCAACTCCTGTTGTTGGTATCCTTGAGTGGTGAAAATCCATTTGATTTTATCGCAAATGTAGGTTGTGTCTTATATTGACATTAAGAACAGTAAAACTGAGCCTAATCCCAGCTCTCTCACGAATTTGGCATTCCTGGCCGTTCGATTTCATCTGGTAGACATTCCTGAACGTTGGATCTTTGTCTCATGACGTGTTTAGCGCTAAATGGGCCACAGGTCGAGAGGGCAGCTACTCCCGTAGCTTCTTTGGACCCCTGTGGTTAATTGGGCCCGTTTTCGTGCTCAGCCCGAGGCAACGAGCGGCCCTCTCATACACTAACACTCACGTCTCCATAAAAGAAAAAAGAAGATCGCTGAAGAGAGGAATCAATCGGGGCAGTCGATACAGAGAGGATCCGGCGAGCGATCAATGTAGATGATGTGGGCGGCCTGCGATGGAATCCAGCTGAGGCGCGACTGGATGGGGATCCAGCGGAAGCGCCGGATGCGGGTGAATCGGGAGCCGGTCAATCACGCCGTCGGGCGATCCGCTGCGAGGTACTCCTACTCTGTAGAAAGGTGGGGAGACATGGGCGATAATTGCGGCTCATCTCATGGAAACTGCTCCAACCAGACTTCAAACGCACAATCATACTTCAGTTTCTAATCGCGCATTCATGGCGGGGGCCGACGTCTCATGTGCTGGACACTTCAGTTTCCAATTGGTATGTGTATATAGGCTTCCTCCCCTGCCCCTTTTCGCTCATCCTCTCCGATCCAGCAGCACAGCATCTTCAGCATCGCCCGCTGGAGCCGTAGCAGCATGGAGGTGAACGGACCGGCTAGCAGCACCCCCGCCTCGTCATCCTCTTCGTCGGTCACGGCTGGCGGTGACGGGACAGCCCAAAAGCCGTGGTTGTTCGTCGGGCTCGGGAACCCCGACAGGATGTACAATCTAATGGGATTAAGCGCCATCGACGAAGAGAGGTGGATGCTTGAGGTACTGGCTGCTAATGTTTCAGTCCTACTAGGCAGTGCCTTGCTAATTGCTATTAATGTCTACTACGGCAGTGGAAAGGAGGAGTTCATTGCAGTCTGTAAGATGGATGTGTGATCCGTGAAGTAAAGATCCATCCGGCTGGCATCCGTGGTTGGCCGAGGCAAAGATTTAGTGCTGAATAGAAAATAAGTAGATCTGTGGGAACTGCATCAGTAGGATGCAAATAGAACTTTTTAGACTTAACGAAGTTGAGCAAAACTGCAGAAAAGAATTTCAGTCGTGCAAACTAAGTAGTAGAGCCTGTTCAGCAAGAGAACATACAGGTTTTAAGTTTTTTATAGCTTGATCCGGATGTTGTAAGTCAAGTTTGTAAACTTTGTGAATCATTTTGTTCCAGCTTTTCTTATTGTATAGTCTAACTGTATCAGGTCATTTACTATGTGCAGATTTGCTTTTGCCATTGCTGACCACGTCCTTCTCTCTGTGCTAGGAAGCATATACCTACTTATTGAATTCTTAGGATCCTTTTTAGTTATGCTAAACTTAAATCCTTCTGTCAAGAGTTTAGTGATTATTCAGAAGGGACGTTGCATATTCCTAGATGTAGTCTGACTTGGCCTTTGTACTAAACTTCACTCCATATCCTCCACATCAGAGACTGTTAATGAGAAGTTAGTTGGTGTAATTTGTGATCAAACTTGTTGCCTGCTACCTTAATAAATCTACTGCACAACTCAGTGGGTAGGCTCGGTTTACCTGAAGCTTGATGTTCTTTCCTACCTACTTTCATTGGTTTTGCAAAGCCATGCAATGTCTGTAGTAGCATAGCCTTTCTTATATAGATTTTAATAGCACTGAGATTTTTTTTTACGGATAACACTGTGATATTAGATTGTTTTTTTTTGGGTAGAATTCTCAAATTGTGTCACTTGTTCTGAGGGTGCTGTGCATTCTCAGCTGGTAGCCACTATCGACTGTTGAAGTTAATCATGATGCAATTCATAAATCGTAGTTGCTAGAATTTTAGATTTGCTGGAGCCATTTTAACTATGTCCAGCAAAATAGACGTTACATGCTTGGAAAAGGCTACTTAGGCTTGATGCTAAGCTCTTCTCAGGGGCAAAAGGTATTATGTTTTGGTTGCTTGACGCTACAAACTCTTGGTATTCAGTTAACTGTGTACTGTCCTGTACTCCTAAGTGCTTACAGCTGAGAATAGCAGCAAGGAAGAGCAACAAGAGGCACTTTGTAGTATATTGCACTGTATTGGTAACATTTTGTTGCCTTAAAAGTTAAAACATATTGAAACCATCTGCTATTGGAAGTTTATTCATTGTGTGGTCTTATATTTTTGTTGTTGTTGACTCTGGCTCACATAGTATCCAATTTTGGCCATTTCATTGTATTCCCTGGACGTTAATGGCTGTCAGATCGTTGTTTAATCTACTACGTGAGCCGTAGCGTCTTAATTGCAGTTTGCTGGTTCATTGGGCCGTTGTCAACCAACCCATTAGAACCTCTACGGCAACACGGGATTGGTCCGTCCTAGACATGGAACCGGAGCGCGACCATTGTTGGGCAGTTAATCCGCAGTTGCTAACCACTCAAAAAAATGCAGTTGCAAGAAGATATTAATGATGTGGGAGTGCACCAAGCCGTTCCAATCAGTCGCTCTCCCTCCCGGTAAAAAAATGTGTTGGACAGAGAACGTCGCTCCGAGAGAAAAAGCGAAGGGCACCGTTCCTGTGAGGGAGATGGGAGGATGTGCAGCGAGGAGATGCGGACATCCCCGTTGATGTTACTTACACTAACACATTTTTCACTAATTACCTACCATTCTATTGTAAAAATGGATGGACGCGGCAACGCGCGTCTTGAATGATCTAGTAGTCATTATAGCTTTGCTCCAGTTTGCCAATTAATAGCTGAATGTGAGCCATCTACTTGCTGGAAGTGGTCACATATGGAGTAATTTTTAGTGGCAGAGTGAAGCAATTGTACTAGCATTTATACTAGTGGTCATTAAAGTGAAACTCCGACCATCAATTTTTAAAAATTCAGGGTCCTACGACAACACTAGCGTGACCGAGATTGCAGTTGTTGTGAGATATAAGACTATAAGGTGGGCTGGCTTGGCTGACCCAATGGGTCACCTGGTGCCGGCTCTGTTGACCCAACTCTCGTTTGAGACCGACCTACATGACCCATTGGCCTTGAATTTTTTTGGCGGGACGACCCG